GTTAACGATTTGAATCAAAAAGTTCTCCTTGAAATCTCGAGTAAGATTCAGTCAAACTGTCAATTCAGCCATTTTTGCACTGTACAAACTTACCACGAATTAATTTTCAAAAAATGAATACAACCCCTTACTAAAATTTCCGGCTGAAACCCCTTGAGGTCCTGCTGTTACGTCTCAGACTGAGGTTCCCTTGTTGCCCCTCCGCTGCAGGCCATGCTGCCTCGCGGCGCGTAACGGCGACGTGTGTGTCCCCGGGCGCCTGGAGGCTGAAATGGCGACGAACGACACTCATTATCGGCCTGGTTACGCCGCGCCACTGCTTGATGGTCAATTAAAATGAAAGGAGAAAAGAAGAATCCAGCTGGCGTCGGCCGACTGGGCCCAGCCAGGCCGACCGCCCGACCCGACCTGGCTGACCGGCCGACCGGCTGCTGGAGTGACCACCGCGCCTCGCTGCGCCACTGGGAAAGTATTGTACGGTGGTGTGGTCTCGGCGTGGGAACACATCGCGACAATGCACTTGCAGAGCACTTACGCTGCCGCGGGCGCCGCCGCCGGGCTGCTGGCTGTGTCTGCGCAGCGCGGCGGCCGAGCCTCGCGGACCGCTCTCGACTATCGTTCGATACGTTTGATAAGTTGGGCCAATTATTTCACCTTTCAGCTACTCGGCCGGGACGCAGCGACGCAGCACCCACCGCGCGCCGTGTGCGTGCGTGTGTGGAACTGTGTGTGTGTCGTTATTCGTGCGCTTTCTCCTCCACCCATTTTCCTCGCGCTCGCTGTTTTAATTTTCCTAGGGTGGCCTTTTATAAATCTAAATCTAGGTGGTTTAACGGGTCAATTTTTTTTAACGCGGGCTCGGGGCGGCGGCCCGGCGGCGTCCATTCTCACGATGTTGTCCGTCAGCACGACGAGCGGTGGTGCCGGGCGGTACGGTGCCACGGCGGGGGCTCGCTATCAGAACAAGGACTAGTGATCTTGTGCGAAAGAGAGGCCAAACAAACACTGCTATCTGCTTAGGAAAATCGGACGGTCCGGCCCGGCCGGGATTTGAACCCGCGACTTATCTGATCTCGTTGAGAGCGGCGCCGCGACGGACCGGCCGCTTATTTGGAGGCCGGCCTCGACACGCCGGCCCGCGAAATGGCTTTTTTCCCGCTCGGTTATTAGCTGCGATCAATAATAGTGTAGTGAAGTCCCTCTGCTGGACGCGAGAAGGCGGTGTTCCTTCATTTTCCCGGCCCTGCTGCGCCTTGCTGCTGCCTGGTGCGAACAAACAGTGTGCCCTGCGGCAGGACAACACGCCTCGCTCGCCCGGAGGACGCGGTGGAGGTCAGGTTTCTGACCAACCATCAAGCGTTATGAATGGCGCCTTCTTTTAGCGTCCGTGTGAGTGAGTGTGTTAGTGTGAGACCCGCCCTGAAGGTTCGGGTCGCGGTGACGTCACGCCGTTAGCTTGGGCTGGCCGCGCAGATAGCAGTGCGGTACATCACCGGGGCGATGTGAGCTGTGCCGGCCCGATTCGATCCGATCTCATTACCATAGGAAGTGGGCGAGGCGATCCGGACACAGTTTCAGCGGGGGGCGGTAGGTAGGTAGGTTGGTAGTCGGTACCAGCGTGCGCTCCGTAAGGTCACGGGTTCGATACCCAATCGGTTCAGATCATCGATGGCGAGAAAAAATTAAAGTCGTGTGTCCGCCGCGGCGCGCCTTGTCCCGCGAGAGACGTGCGTTTTCCTTGTCCAGCGCGTGAGCGTCGCGTTGATCACGGCGACACTTGGCTTGCTCGGAGGGACATATTCGGTTTCCCAGTAACGAATTCCCCTCCATTAAGCACAGCGGCAGCGGGGCGGCGGCATCTGTATGCATGTAGGTTGGCGAGCGGATCCAGCCGCACCGCGCGCAGCGCCTCGTAAAGACCCGGCCCGTCTCATGCATGGCTTTGGCACATTCGCACTCGCTTCATTTCACGCCGCCGCCTCGGCGGTTCAGGTCTCTGTCTCGCTGCGGACTGATTTCCAGAGAGACGTTGTCGTCGCTCTGTCCCTGTCGCACCCATACGGCGCGCCCCATGAGTGCGAGAGAGACGGGGTGACGAAAACGGCCCACTGAATCAGTCTGCTGCCGATAGCGGCCGCTGCCCCCTCCGCTTTAATTATTTCCACGCGGCGGCGGGGCGGCCCGTTTTCGCGCGCTCGTCTTTTGTCGGACGTTTAGTCGTGTTCCTCGCCCTAATGGATTCCGTTTCGCCCCCCCGTTTGATGACCCTGCAGCCGGCGACACCTGTACACCGTCACAAGTATAAGTAATCCTATTCGGGGTTTTTCTGGTTCTTTCGTAGATTTTTTAGACTTTATTTGTATTTTTTTTTGCAATTTTTTGTAGTAAGTATTCTTTTTTAATTTTGTGCTAGTTAGGTTTTTTCACAAATTTTTGTAGTTAGTTGGTTTTTTTTTGCAGATTATTTGTAGTTAGTTTTTTTTGCAAATTTTTGGTAGTTAGATTTTTTCAATGCAATTCTCTTGTTAATCTTTTTTTTAAATTTTCAGTGTAAGTTTTTTTTTGCCTACTGAGTTAATGGACGCTCCCCGCGGCCTGGCCGGCCCTGGTGGTCCGGCGTGGCTGTCACTGACTGCGCACGCGTGGCGTTGCCCCGTCGTGATGGAGGAGGCCCGGCGAGACGCTTGGCCGCTGGCCGCGACCTGGCCGCTGCAAAAGTACGCAGTGCCGACCTTTGCGCCTCGGTGGTGCACTTGTTGAGCGCGCCGGGCACTCTGTCTTCGGGGCCGTCCATAAAGTACGATGCCTATCTCGGGACGTGTCCTAAATGCGCGCGCGGGATAGAGCCACTCTGTCGTCGGGGCGAATTTAAATGAGGGGAAGGTTTAATGAGGAGGCTGGCAGGCTCGGGCTGGCCAGGGCAGACAGGCAGAATAATCTGCCGGGGCCCTCGGGTTTGGGACCAGAAACGTCACAAAGTTGGTCAAAGAGTGACTGAATCTCCAAAAGTAGCCGTTTTCGCTGATTTTGGGCGGCCACTGCGTCCGATCTAGTTGCGGCCAACGGCCTACCTCGAAGCCATAGTATTCTTAAGACCCTACTCTTTCATGCCCTGTATCGGGACGACGTTGACCACAAGGATTTTGGCTTTGACCGCAACGATTTTCCGACCAAGTTGGCTAAAAAATAGTCGAATTTCGGGAGTTTGATGATTTTGCTGACTTTGGGCGGCCACTGTGTCCAATCTAGTCGCTGTAAAAGGCTTCCCTCGACGTCCTTGTATTCTTAAGACCCTACTCTTTCATGCCCTGTATCGGGACGACGTTGACCACAACGATTTTGGCTTTGACCGCAACGATTTTCCAACCAAGTTGGCTAAAAAAATAGTCGAATTTCGGGAATTTGCTGATTTTGCTGACTTTGGGCGGCCACTGTGTCCAATCGAGTCGCTGTAAAAGGCTTCCCTCGACGTCCTAGTATTCTTAAGGCCCTACTCTTTCATGCCCTGCATCGGGAAGACGTTGACCACAACGATTTTGGCTTTGACCGCAACGATTTTCCGACCAAGTTGGCTAAAAAATAGTCGAATTTCGGGAATTTGCTGATTTTGCTGACTTTGGGCGGCCACTGTGTCCAATCGAGTCGCTGTAAAAGGCTTCCCTTGACGTCCTAGTATTCTTAAGGCCCTACTCTTTCATGCCCTGTATCGGGAAGACGTTGACCACAACGATTTTGGCTTTGACCGCAACGATTTTCCGACCAAGTTGGTCAAAAAGTTGTCAAATCTCGGAAATTTGCTGATTTTGCTGACTTTGGGTGGCCACTGTGTCCAATCTAGTTGCCGTAAAAGGCTTCCCTCGACGCCCCAGTATTCTTAAGACCCTTCTCTTTCATGCCCTGTATCGGGAAGGCTATTGACCGCAACTAGTTTGGGAGCGGTAGCCTCACAAAGTTGGTCATGAAGGGTAAAAACATGATGATGATCGGGGGCCTTTTGCGGTCTTATCCGCTGGGGCCTTTTGGGGGCCAGTCCGAGCCTGGAGGCTGGTTTGATCTCGCAGCAAGTGGTGAAATTGGAGACGGGTCCAATGATTCTGTCACCAGGCCAAAGTGCAAAAAGCGGCCGTAAAAAAATAAAAAAGAGGCAGCACTAGTGGGTTCTCTCTTCCTGAAAACGGGGAAACGGCGGTGACCCTCTTTCCGTTTGTGCAGTGTATCCCCACCTGGAGCACTTCTGAGGTGACGCGCTTCCCCGGACGGGGAAAAGTAGGGCTTGTTTGGGTCGTCAGCGCAAACAGCTGCCGCCTCGGCCGCGCTCGGCCGCCTGGACGGCCGCCTGGAGCCTCCAGGCTGGAGGAGGAGGCCCTCCTGGAGCCCGAGGCTGCCCCAGGCCCTCGAGTCGAGGGTCAAGGCAAAAGGCTGCAGGGCCGCTGGGCCGCGCTTCCCACGAGCTGGCTTCGGACAAGCGCTCGATCACCTCAGCGCCTCGGATAGAACCATCAATTCCAGCACCGCCGTGGCCACGCCGCCATCCTCGCGCCCCGGCTGGCTCCGGACGGCGCGCGTCTCTCTCGCACTGCCCCGGGACGCGCCGTGAGTGCGAGAGACTGCCGGGTACGACGTGGACAGATGCGTCGCCCGCGATTTTTCATCTCGAGCGGCCGGCTCGGCGGCTCCTTTGCGTCCATGGACGGGTCCACCGTGACGCCCGGCCAGCTCCCGGCGTGCTCCCGGGCGCCGCGTGGAGGCTGGAGGCCCTATCTGGAGCTGGAACGAAATTCCAGGTGGTGGCACGCGGCACGGCTCAACAAGCATCGCGGGTTTCACAGTCACGTCTTCGCAGTGTACCGCCGAGACACGCACTCACTCAGGCCGGCGCACACATACGGTGCCGCACTCATCTAGCGCGGCCACCACCGCGCCGTTTCTGGAAGCCCTGAAATTGGCCGCTTGCAAAAGCCAGTGATTCTAACCAGTGTGTTCCTCGTGTTGCTCCGCAGGCGTGTCCATGGTGGACGGCCCATCATGAGCGGGCCCGCGAGCGGCCGCAGCCCGGGCCGCAGCAGAAAGGGCTCCCATGCCGGCTCGTACGTCGGCTCCCACGTGGGCTCCCACTCGGGGTCCCACGTGGGGTCGCAGAGCACGGTGTCGTCGGCGTGCCCGCGGTACGTGCTGCTCCGCCACTCGCTGGCGGTCACCCTGCGCCGCACCGGCTCCGTGCCCGGCGCCTCGGAGCCCTGCGGCGCCGTGGACAACGACTTCTGGATGTACGACAACGGCTACCTGCTCTTCCAGGTGAGTGTCGAGGTCGATCACCATCCTGGCTGTACCAGCCTCGAACAGCCTGTACCAGCCTGAAACAGCCTGGCTGGTCGATCACTGTGTGGTCCAGCCCGTAATGGTAATGGTAACGGATGGTAGGCAGCGCGGGGGCACGCGTGCTCGGCAGTGTTGCCTACCCAGAGGTTCGCAGGCGCTAAGTCCCCTTCCGCAGCAAACGAACGCGATGGTCGGTGAGCAATGAGGAAGCCTTGTCCACCTGCACACACACACCACACGCACGCACACACACACACACACCAGCCTTCTATACACACGCACGGACACTCGCTGGGCGCGGTGCGGGACGAGTGCATATAAAGTTTAGTCCAGTCGTTTAAGTGACAGGCTTGAATGGCCAATCAGCCAATTTGGCATGTTGTCGGGAACGTGCGCGCGCGCGCCAGCGTGTGTGTGTGTGCACTGTATTAGTGGCAGTGTGCGTGCAGAGTAAGCTGACAGCTAGTCGAACAGCCAGTGTGCTACCAGCCCCGCCCCGCCACCGCCGCCCCATGGGGAACCGCTCTCACTGGCCGTTGCTGACGCCGGAGACAGCAGTCCTGCCGACTGATTCCCAGAGCTGTGCGCCTCGGCTCTGTCTCTCTCGCCCGCTGCGGGGCGCCGCATGTGCCGCATGCGTGCGAGAGAGACGCGGCCGCGCATAAGGAAGCCGAAAGGGAAAATGGAGCGGCGGCGGCGGGGTCACTGCGCAGTCACTGCGCACGGCGGCGCACGGCGGCCACGGCGGCACGACGACGCGGCGTGACAAGGTGCAGATATTTATCCGCGATGGCGGCGCTCCTCACGCCCCAGTCCGATTCCGCGGCGCCGTCTCCCTCGCGCTCGTGGCGCGGGCCGCGGCGGTGCGAGAGGGAGCGGTACATTGTCAAACGAGCTGCCGGCCGGGACTTGCGTCGGTTACGTTGCCCGGCAGCCCCCGGCAGCCCTCGGCCGCGGCGCGGTCACGGCGGTCACGATCCAAATGTAATCAGCCCGACGCCTGGCGCGGCGCGGCGCGCGCCCCCCAATGTTGACCGCAAGCGATAGGCGTCGCGCTGTTCTGCGAGGTGTTCTGTTGTTGTCTGGCGACCCCTGACCCGACGCGGCCCGGCCTGGCCCGGCCCTGCGAGGCGGCGACACGGGGCGGGGGGCGGGCCGGGCCACCGCCTTGACTTTACGAGCGGGGCCAACTTTCCGTTCGACATGAAACGTTTGTTGTGCAGGGCAGGGTCGGCTCACCGAGGGCAGTGCGCCGCCTGTCTCTCTCGCACCCGTTGGCTCGCCCCAACAGCCCCGCGAGTGCGAGAGAGACAACTGTTGGGAATGAGCCGGCCGCGTGTGTGGAACGGGATGCAGGTTGCGGCCCTCGCGGCCCTTGCAGTGTGGTAACAGTCGTACGTTATTTCAAAACAATAATAAATAGAGGCGACCCGTGTATCGAGGGCGGCTGCTATCTCGCATTGGATCTTTACGCCGGCATCAGCGAGAGCACGACGGGGCGACGGCGGGGCGACGCGACCCCGCACCGCGCGGACGGGGGCAGACGTCCAGCGGGATTAACGTTACACAGTGGGCCAGGAGAACGGCGCCGCCGGCCAAAACTCTAGACGCGTTTTGAGCCTCATGACGATTGTGCATTGGGGAATCGGCGGTCTGCCTCGCCTCTCCTTTCCCCCGAAAGCTAGACGAAGGCCTGCCACTCTCGCTGCCGCTGCAGTCATTCGATACTGCCGCCGTGGCACCGTGGTGGCACCGCGAGAGGTCTCCAGTGTCGCCTCGCCTCGCCCGGCCGGTGACGAGCCGAGCCCAGCCAGCCGGGCCCTGCGCCGGACTCGTTGTGCCGAGTCGAACCGAGCCGAGCCGGGGCCGGGCCGGAGGCGGTGTCGTGACACATGTCAGGGTTACGTCAAATCAAGTCAGTCACTCCGCGCCGCCAGCGCTGACTCGCGGCCGAATACAATGAGAGAAGGGCGCCTCTGCAGGTGCATTCTCCGATGTGTGTGTGTGTCTGGCACACTGTCCGGGAAAAGTCTTTCTCCCTGTCAATCCTTATGAGGATCATTGCGTGGCGGTGGTGGTTAGGCAGACCGAGGTGACGGGGAGAGTTGGAAAGAGACGGAGTGGACCGAAAGCCAGCCAGCCTCTCTTGTGGTGAGTGAGGTTGCAGCAGAAGACGCGGCCGCGCTGCAGCGGTGACGTCGATACATGACGGACGGGGCGGCGGCGCGGGGCGGCGCGGGGCGCACGACGGCCGAGCATGCAAAGCAGAAACCACACCGCTATACACTGTTCCTTAATGTCTTGATTCGTTGTTCGTGTAGGGTGGGGCGCTTGCGATGGGTCAGCGGCAGCCGCGCCCCGCGTCAACTCTAGTAGTAGTAGTAGTATCGATTGCGCACTTCGAGTTCGGTTCCAGGCCGGATTACTCGATTTATTTCTGTAAAGTAAGTACAGATTTAGAATCAAAAATTATAAAAAAATTTAATTTTTTTTTTTTAATTTTAGAAAACACTTGAAACAAACCGTTTTGGTTATTTGTTCTGTCTGCAAACCCGTGCTGCTGGTATATGAAACGCCTGACTCAGTCGGACACCTTCAAAATAGCGATAGCGCGGCCAGGCCGACGCCGGCACTGGTTTTGTGCGTGGCTGAAGGGATGGCTGTCGATAAGGCGAATCTAAACCGCTTTCTCGGCGGACCGTCGCGCGCGCACACACACACACACACACACACACACACACACACACACACACACTGACTGCGAAGCTGCGAGAAGGGACCGCCCAGATGCTATCTATGATCCTGCAGTTTTGTTTGCGGGCAGCGAGGAGGAGGTGCCGCCAGTAGGGCCGCCCAGCCTGGGCCCGGACTGCTGCACTGGCAAGGCCCCGGCGAGGCCCCCGCTGCAGTGAATCAAAGTGGCCACACATTAAGTGCACTCTTTACGGCGCGCCTTTCTTTGGAACAGGTTCGGCGTATGTGCTTGTGAGTGTGCCTCTGTGTGTGTGTGTGTGTGTGTGTTGTGTGTGTGTGTGTGTGTGTAGCGCCCCGGCATGCAGGTGGGCCCGGCGTGAACCACCCGCTCCTGGAGGTAAGGCGATACTTGCGACGGTTTGTTACGCGAAGGACGAGGCTTGCGCTGGCCAGTGTGGCGGTTCGGTTTTTCTTTCAAATTAATCCCCGCTTGGCAGTGTCGAGTGTAGTGAAAGGAAGCGCGCTACAATGTGACTGCTGAGCGCGGCAGTTTCTCCTTGATTGCCGCTGGATGACCTGGACGACACGTTTACAGCGCCACTCTTTTTAGTGCATCCCCCGAAGCCGGACTTCCAGCTTCGTGTGCGACGGTGGGCGAAAGGCAAGTGCGACGCGGCCCGGGCGACACGCGCGGACTCCTGGACGTCCCGGTCGAGGGCATGATCTATGAGCGCGGCGTGGAGGGCGGGGCCGGCCCGGGCCTGCCGCCACTGGTTGCCGCGCCGCGTTTTGGCCGCGCTCTCTCGCACCGCCACGCAACGCGCCACGAGTGCGACGGAGAGGCGCCTCCGAGTTCGGAATCGTTCCGCGGCAGGGAGGGTCGATCGGGTCCGACGAGTTGATGACGGCGTGATTACGGCGCTGATGTATCTCTCTCTCTCCCTCGACGGACGGAAGTTGGAGTATATTGGTCGGTGGGCTCGCTGGTTCAGGTTACCGCGCGGCTTCCGTACCGATGTTGGTATAGTACTGCCGCCCCGCCCGTCGGAAGGAAAACAGTGGAGGCGCACACAGCGCCTGCTTCGGAGGCGCGTGCATTGTCGCGCACACACTCACTCTGAGGTGTGCAGAAGGGGGAGAAAGTAAAGTCTCCTCTTACACGATGCCAAACACCTCGCAGCTAATCTCTTTATACTGCGGGGATTAGAGCTTGAGATGTTCATCGGAGCAACAGCGCCCGTGTACACTGCCAACGCCATGCATTGCCCGAGCCTCCTCTACCAGCGCGCAGATTTGAATATATTGAAACTTGACTTTTTCGTTGCAGGGGTTCGTGGAGGCCAACGCGCGCTGCTTCTGGAGCGCCGCCCTGCTGGAGGCCATGAGGGAGCTGAGCTTCGAGGGCTACGTGTCGCCCGGCGTGCTGCTGGTGCGCGCGGGGGCGTGCGCGCTGGACGTGGTGCGCGCCGCCTGGGGCCGCCGCGTGCTCAAGCCGCCCCCCAACTACGTCATCGCGGACGTCGGTGAGTACACTGCAACACGCGCCAACCTTCGGCCGAATTTCCGTTGTAGGTAGCTGTCACGCCATGGACTTGACCGTCTAGCACTTTGTTTACCTCCTCGCGGAGCCGCTCCGCGTGCGCCGCGTCCTCGGTGTGTGCCTGGGTGGCTTTCTCGACCTTTACACGAAAGGGACCGACTCCCGTTCCGGCCGTCCCGGTCGTTCGTCGAACCGGTGAAAACACCAATACGGCACCCGGCGACGAATGTCGACTGTCCGGCCGGCGCGGCGGCCCTTTCAAAAGCCGCCCTTTTTAAATCGCCGCAATTAAGATTGCATTACGGCCGCTTGCGAAACGCGCGGAGCGGCAAAACGGATCGAAAAAAGTGATCAGGAGATAATGGAGCCGTGAAGCCGCGAAGCACACTTGGGCCATTCCATTCCATTCGCCGGGCAGCCTCGTGTGCAACAAATGCAGCCCATTTAATGAGCCCGGCTGTGTCACCTCTCACGAAACAAGGCTACTTTTTTCTCGGGCTTTATCCGTGTGCACGGCAGCGCGCAGTGGGCCAGAAGGCCGGTGGAGACGGCCAAAATTCTAGACACGTTTTGAGCTCCAGAGTCACTGAATGGGTCTCGAACTGAACGTGTGACCCCACCAATGGATTGCTCTCCGAACGAGGAATCCGTTGGTGGGTTCACACGCTCGCTCGGTTCAAAACCCATTTAGTGGCTCTGGAACTCAACACGCATCCAAAGCTTTGGCCGCTTCCACCGGTCTTCGGCCAAATCCACTGTGCAGCGCCCGGCAGCGTGTTCGCAGTCAGTCAACTTGTCCAGCCTGTCATGCCGGCAGACTCCACTACAGTGTATACACACAACACTTCCCATGCCCTACACCCACACACGCAGACGGACACACGAGGTGGTGGCACTCGCCGCCTGCTCTGCCGCCAGCGAAAGTACCGCTAACTTTTACCCACCAGTCATATGGACAGGGCAGACGTAAGTGTTACCGCCACTGCCGGACCGGCGCGACTGCCTGGCCGGTTTCGGCGCGCGGTGTCAATGCGACAAATGGCTTCTTTGCCTTAGCCGAACGTGCGCTGCCCACCCACGCCCTCGCATCCGCTACACTCTGCTGAGCGCAGGCCCGTGACGAAATTAAACATTAACAAGCAATGAGTGTGACTGCGGGCGTATGATGATCGTAACAATTATACATGTCCGGTTTAACGGTTTCAAATCGTACCCAACATTTCTAAAATTTTAAAAACGAAGTAAATTTCTTGGTTTTGTGGAAAATGAACTTTGCCAGGGTACGTTCGTTTTCTAACAACCCATTTGACGCCGCGGAGTACAGTATTGTCCGAGACCGCGGCGTCTGCCTTGCCTGCCTTTCTCGCGGACCGTGTCTGCCTGCCAGCCGGTCTGTCCGGCTGCCTGTCCGTCTGCACTGCAGCAGGTGCAGGCCTGCCCGGCCCGGCCATCTGGCAAGGTCGAGCGCAGAGCGCTGCTGCCTGCGAGGTCTCCGCGCACCCAACGGGCACCTTGTCCATCAGCAGGAAAGGGAAACTGAACTCGTTGGCTGCGGGCGTCGGCTTGCCCGCTTTTGCGCTTTTGTGTTCCAGTGTAGCGGACGAAAACGAAAGTGAAGCCGATAATTTTTGTTTCTGTTGCGCCGCTCGCTCGCTCGGCCATTCCGATGATGCCGGGCGCGTTTTTGCGGTGACGTGACGGGGACGGGCGGCTCGCTGTGTGTGCAGTGTAGCGACTGACTGACGACCAAATGGCTGCGCACACCTCTTAAGACGGCTGGGCGCGCGCCGCACTCCATTTCTCTCTAAAGCGCAAACGCGCGCGCCCGCACACTCACTCGCTCACACACACACACACAAACACACACACACAACACACACACACACACACACACACTCGTGCGTCGAGAATGAAAAGGAAAGGGGCCCTGTAAATCATACGCTCCTTTGCCGTTGGCGAGATGGGTGCCGTGCCGTGGCGTGCCTCGCGGGTCGGGGCGTCGTCACGTTTGCCATTGGGGTCCGAAGCTTGAGCCCCCCCGACGACGACGAGCACGGAGTGCGCACGCGTGGACGACGAGGATGAGTGCGGACGTCCAGGAAAGGGATCCGAAACGGTCCCTCTGTTACGAAGCACGCCGGGGCCTGTTAGAACGGAGGCCTCGCACTCCAAACCGGACGAACCCCGAAACTTGGAGCTCGGGCATGCAAATTTAGCTACGATGAAACAAGACAAAAAGTTACCTTTTGGTTTGCCTTTGTTGATTCTGCTTACCGGCCGCTAGGACTTGGCCTGCAGGCGGGGACACAGACACACGCGGACGTGATGCAATCTCAGGCGCCGATGGCATCTCGACGTCGCCCCTGCGTTTTCCCGGCGTGACGTGTCACGAACGCGTCATGTTGGCCGTGGGGCAACGCGGAGGCTGAATTGCCTTTTTTTAGCAAGGGCCCTCTACTTGGATCGGACCGAAGCCCAAAATCGGCGCGACACCGCCTGGACACCGTTTCAACTTTTCCTTTTTTTGGACGGTCTGAGTCGCAGAGGCAGCCGCGTCTCTCTGGCGCGGGATTTGGTTGAGTCAACAAAACGGCTAATTGGCTTTACGAATATTTATTTAGCGGCCATTGTTGGCGCCGGATGACAGGCGGACCTTTCACCAGTGACGGGGCGCGACGCGGCGCTATTCAGGGAAAAAGGGGGGGGGGGGCAGCACAAGCCCGCCCTGATCAGGCTGACTGCCGCGGCGCCCTGCGTCAAGTATGTCCCGTCCTGACGGCATCAACTTCACCTGTGTTGGCTTTTTCATATAAGAAGGCAAAATCCAAAAAAATAATTAAATTAGATGGCTTTCAAACTGGCTTAGCAAAGAGGTGATTTTGTTTTAAAAATTTTCAACAAAGAAACACAAGTTTGCATCCGCTTTGTTCTTTGCCGTCGCTGCGCGGCTGTGCCTCACCGAGATGACCCGCACCCGATGGCGTCGCTCTGCTTTCCTCCCTATCTACGTCGCGACGCCGTAAACTCCCCTGCGTGAGGCGTCGCGGTGCGTCACACACACACACACACACACACACACACACACACACACACGGCGGGAAAGCAAGGTGGTGGAGATGAAAGTGTGCAGCGTGATGACCCATCAATCGCATCTCTTTATAGTGCAACAGCGTGAAGCTCGTTGTGCTCTTCCTCGGCAGTGGCGGCAGGGCTTTCGTAGCAATTTGGTGCTGCTGGCCTATTGTTCCGGGATTTTATTTTTTTTCATTTTATTTTTATACTGCCTCTGACTGGCTTTCGGACGCTGTATTTTTTAAAATTTATTTTTACGGCTCACTCGACAGCAGCGACATGGAGGCGTGTGCCGCCACTGTTATCGGGTGCTTTAGATTTGTTCCGCGCGGTCCGCCCGATCGGCACGCCATCTAGCGGCGTCACGCCGCGGCTCCGCGCGCCGAGGGGTCACTGTGTCGAAAACGGGCAAGTTTGGTTTCGATGGCATTTATTAAATTTTTACCTCGCCTCCCTCTGCCACGGGAAAAAGGTTACCACCTTTGTAAAACTTGACTTCATGACCTAGAGAATAATAACTGGCAAACCAAATTGCGTTTCTTTCTTTTTTTTGTAGAGTGTACCCTGGAAATTGCCTGAGTGTTCCGCATAGGCGAGGGTGCTTAATTTTGATTGGAGTCGCCTCTTAAACCAACATGTGGCTAGAGGCGCTCTTCCCGGTGACGAGACGCGGCTCGCTGGGTGGTACGGTAGTACAGTAGTGCGTCGGTCCGCCTCGGCGAGCGCCTGCGGACTCGGCGATAGGCAGTCCAGCGCAACAGCCACGCGCGGCGGGCCGGCCCCTGCGAATAAAAAATGTGCAAGTGTTTCCCCCAAAGTCAATGACCGCGGCGTCATGAGAAATTGCCAAGAGCGTGCGCACCGTTGGTTCCTCTCCGGCCTGTGCCTCGGCGGCGTGCGGGGCCGTGCGGGGCCGGCTGCTGGATGTCACTGCGGCGTCGATTTTCCGGCTGCCAGTGCCGCCGGCACTCCAGCGGCTGCTCGCTGCCTCGTGACGCGCGGGTAACGGGTCGTCTGCAGGAACCACCCGAGTCGCTAGACAAAAACAAGAGCGTTATTGATGGCTACCGAGGTCATGAGGGGCGCGACGGAGACGTGCATCTCCAGCGCGTCGCTCCGTCTCTCTCGCACTCGCGGGCCGCAGGGGGTGTGCGAGAGAGACGCAGCGCGTCGTGTCGCGCCGTGCGGGCCGGTCACGCGCGTGCCGCGTGTGTCCGCATTGAAAGCTGACGCCCATAAAATGAAATGGGATCGCTTTGAGGTACATGATATTCTACGCTGTTGTCAACTGGACCGAATCTGCATGGGAGAATGTCGCCGGCGTGGCCGGGGCGTGGCGGGGCGTGGCGCTCGTGCGGGAGGCAGGCCTGCAGGACGGAGAGGGCCGCGGCGGCCGCGGTGCGCGATCTCTGGCGGCCTCCGCATCCGGCCTGCCATCGCGATCCTGGCCGGGCTGCCCTGGCCGGGTCGCCCTGGCCGCCCTGCGTCGCGCCGCGGCGGCAAAGGAGGTTTAAAAATAAGCGGCGCTGTTTTGCCGCCGCGAGCGCTAATGACACGGCGCTGTCAGCACTCCGCCGATCCACTGAAAAATGGATAAGCAAATGGGGGGAATGTGCGTCGCCGGTTCTTCTCGGTGTGTGTGTGTGTGTGTGTGTGTGTGTGGTCTGTCTGTCCGGGTTCCGCGTGTTGTGTTTCGCTGCTCACGGCGTGGCCGCTGGTTGCAGGTGACATCGAGGACTGCCTGGTGGTGGCGGTGCCGCAGAGCCAGTTCACGCCGCTGCCCGAGGCGCTGTGCTGGGTCATCCTGGAGCTGACGTCGACGGGGCAGGCGGCCGTGCTGCCCGCCATCCTGCGCGCGCTGCCCAGGGCCTTCCCGGCCATGACGCAGCCCGAGGCCGAGGTGGTGTACGACGCCCTGGCCAAGCTGTCCACCGACCGCAAGGTGAGTAGACTTTTGGGGGCGGCTGGGCAGTCCGCGGCCATGCCATACGATACGGCGTAGGCATCATTTTCGGCGAGCCGCGTGACCGGCCAAGCGTGGTGGCTGCGCCGCGCTCCGTCTCGAGGACCACGAGCACGAGGGAGGCAGAGCGACGAAGACGAAGGCGCTGTTCACCGAGTCGCAGCCCTGCGGCGCCGTGCGGCGGGTGCGGCTGCCGTGCGCTAGGCCCGACACGGAAGATGATACATTTATTAATATTCAAGGGGCGGGAACCTTGAGCCGAGCAGCCTCACCGTAAAAATGGCCTGAGCCACCAGCACGCTCGCTGTGGCCTTTGGCTGCCTCTGGCGGCTTCCTGGTGTAGTGGCCGAGGCGGCCGGCACGGGGGGCGTGCGTCCGTCCGGACAGGTGCTGCCCCAGTGGTGCCTCTGCCCGCCGCTGCCAGCCTAGACTCATTCCGAGAGTCGTCGCTCTGTCTCTCTCGCACTCACTCTTGTCCAGGTGCGAGAGAGACAGCAACGAAGAAGACTCTCGGAAGCAGTCTGCTGCCGGTGTCAGTTTCATTTTCGTGCCCGTTGCTCCGTCGCTGCGGTTGCGGGGGAGCGGCAAGCCCGTCGCTGGCGGGGCACGGCGCGGCCACGGCACTGTGGCCTGGGAGACCCACTTCGGGACACGTTTCGAGCACCACGACATTCAAATGTGACTCGTATCGAACTCGTGGTGGGGCCAGAGGACTCCTCTCTCCAAGAATAATCCATTGGTATGGCCATAACGTTTGATTCTGCTTTGTTAACATTAATGAAGGGCTCAGCCACAGCTCTGTGGCGGCTCGTTGGCCGTCACCGAGGTGGCCGTCGTCAAGGTGGCCCGCGAGAGGCTGGGGGTGGAGGCCACCTTTGTTTGCGGTGGAGTGGCTCCGCCAGGACAAGCTTTGTGGCGCGGGGCACGCGGGCACGCACGGTGCGCTCAATGGGCTGGGTCGTCCCATTAGGCTGCCTGTATCCGCGGCCAGGTGGCGGGGCGGGGCGGGGCCGCGGTAAAGTGGGGCCAAATTTTGTTTACCACAAAAGGGCCGCATTAGTTGGGAGTCGTGACTCTGAAAAGGGGCCACTTGACGGCATTGTCATCGCGGCGTGGCGGCAAGGCAGCGCGGCCGGCAGGCAGTGCGTCTTCGGCAGGTAATTGCCGCACCCCTTGGACGCGCAGCGCCACTGCCCGGCCTGTCCAGTCCATTGGAACCTCGTTAGACGGTCGTTGCAATTAAATCGACTTGGTTTCTTAAATTGGTTTTTGGGTCAGTATTTTCCTATTTTTACAGATGCCTTTCCCTCAAAGTTCCACAGGAAGCACCGGCGAAGGTTTAGGCTTGGCGGACGCCGGCTGGGTGTTGCAGTGTTGTGGGTTTGGCGGGGTCATCATCTTGCAGCTCGCGAGCCATCCTCGGAGGAGTCCCACGCCCCCGCGCGCCGCGCAAGGTGCTGCAGTCGGATTCCGAAGACTGTGAACTCGGTCTCTCTGTCTCTCTCGCTCTCGTGAGGGGCAGGGGCGCGAAAGAGGGAGAGACAAACCGACAAAAGCCGAGTTCTCTGCCTGCAGGCGACTTAATTAGCAGCGGGAAGTCCCACACAAGGGAAGCGCGCCCAGAACCAGAGTGGCGCACGACGCCGGCTAAGCAGCGGGGCAGCGCGAGAAGTCGGTTATCGGGCGAGGCTGCTGAGCGCCAAGCTGGCCGGGCGGACCGCGGTCTAGGCCCGGGCATGCCGGTGACGGGCTCCGCGCCACCCAGGACGACGCAGGACGACCCGGCACGGTGGCGGCTGTGCGATGAGGCGGCCGCCTCGCCCCGCCCCATCACTATTAGCGGAGAAAATTGAACAAGTCTATCCCCTTGGCATCGCCGGGCCTGGCCCGGGGCCCTGCACGCCACACGCCACACTGTCTCGCCGCCGCAGTGGCGCAGTCCACTCGCCTCGCTGCCGGCCGCGCCTCTCCCCCTCACCGCCGGGGCCTTACCTTTCCCGGCTTCGCCGACCGCCGCATCGCTGGGTCCTGTCGTAAGGCCGAATTACCCTAGAGTAGGCGGTGGCTGCCGGCAGCTGCAAGAAATGCATCCCAAGAACACGTCTCTATCCCAACAGCATGCTCTTTGGATTAATAGTCGAAAACGGCCCTCTCCGCCGTTAAAAGTGATTAACACAGTAGCTTATCCGGCTCCAGCGTCCCTGGATGAAACCTTTGTGAGCCCGGTCGAAGGCGACTTGACGGCCTTCCCCGCGTTCGGCGCGCGTGACTGCGTGACCGCGCGACCGACACCGGCGACGCAAAGGACAGCAGCCAGCATGAGGCACTGCCGCGCGCCATTCTGTTGTTAATTACCAACTCACAAGTGTTGCCAACCCCCGCGGCTCGAACGACGCTTGTCACTGGGTGCGATTTGTGCGCGACTGGCGCGCGAAGCCGCGGCGGGGAAAGCAGTGCCTACACTACAATGCCGCGGTGACCTCGGCGGGGCAGTACAAGGCAGTGCCGGGCGGCACGAACACGGCCAGTGTGTGTCCCGACTCGCAGCGCATGTTAGTTAGCAAAGGTTAACGCGAGCCTTTCTTCGCTGTTAATCAAGCGGCGCCGTTATACACACCTCGGTCATTAATCTGGAAACGATGGCAAAGTGGCGATGCGAGGCAATAAAAGCGATCCGGCATTATGGCCGGCCGGTGGGTCGGCGGCGCTATCCGATGACTCCATCGCCGGGGCCTTCTTTGTGGCGGTCGCGTGCGACGCGGTGCGAAGCGGTGCGAAGCGTGAACCGCGGCGAGGCGCGGGCAGAGCCTCATTGACTGCGACATGCAGAATGCCACTTTCTTCGTGCGAATTATGTGGTTTGGATTACGAGTAGTGGTCGGCGGGGCCGCGGGGCGCGGCGAGGCGCTCAAGCGTGCGAGGCGAAGGGCTTTGAAAGGGAAAGACGAGATGAAGATAGGCATTACGGCGATGGGGATAACCCCGCGTGGTGACGCGTGCGCGCCGCCCCGGCCAGCGGCCCCGGCCAGCGCCACCCTAACGACACCGTGATTACGACGGTGATGTCCGCGTTCGGGACGCCGCCGTGCCGTCTCGCGGACACTAATTGAAGAAAAGCCATTAATTTTTCCGGGCGGTGGCTGCGGGCCGCGCGTGGCCGGGCAGCGCGCGGCAGCGCGGTGCTGTCGGACCGTCACTTAACTGGGCGAGGTGGTTGTTGATTGAGAGTGCCGCCGCGGGCCGCGGTCGCTCCACTGTGCGCGTGCCTGCTTTTGATCCGCCGAGAGCGAACAGCCATCGATCTCATGACAGCCCGGGATCAATTACCGGTTTTTCCCTTCTCGAATTACCGATTTTTTCCCCTTCCGCAGGTGTACCAGACGGCGCGCGGATACTTCCTGGTGACGCCGGAGACGCGGCGCCGGCTCGCCTCGATGCAGTCCCCCAGCGCGGCCACGCAGCGCCGAGGCCGCCGCTCCATGCTGCTGTCCACGGACGAGGCCCTCGTCATGGTGCACGGCGACATGCAGACGGAGCGCGACGGCCACCGCACGCACCAGTGCGTCCAGACCAACCTGGCCGACGTCATCTGCGGAGGTCAGCGCAGCGCGAGGGCCGCGGCCGTGGAGGCCGCCAAGGCCGCCGAGTGCAATGTTTACGTTAACGGCGACCGTGACACTGGTGATAGCGTGTCGCGGAACTTGACAATGACGACACTGGCTTCTGAATCTGGACTTACACTGTACCGCTTCTCACACAGCCGTCTGCCTGCCAGGTAACCCCGAGGACAAGGTGCTGTACGCGCGGGACCGCGGCGTGGAGGACCGCGTGCTGGAGCGCCGCCACTCGCTGCGCCTGTCGACGCGCCTCGGCCAGGCCCTGCAGCGCGCCGGCTCGCTGCGGTCCCTGCCGCCGCGGCCGCCGCCCACCCCGCCGTCCACGCCGCCCAGCCCGGAGAGTAAGTGCAGCTCTGTCTCTGTCGCACCCACGGGGCGCCCCCTGGGGGTGAGAGAGAGACAGAAGCCCCGCGGGGGGGAAACGGGCCGGCCGATTCCGAAGAGAGTTCTCTTTCTCGCACTCGCACCCCTGCGGGCCGCGGGGCCGTGGGTGCGACGGAGATAGAGCGACCAGACGAGCCTTCGGAATCGGTCGGCAGTTTCCCCGCCGCGGGTCCGGCCGTCCGGCGGCGCAAACTGCAGGTCATCGCGGCGTGCTCGCTCGACTCAACATTCACCTCGGACGTGCCCCTTTGCAGAGAAACAGTCGCTGCTGTCGCGACTCTTCCGCCGCTCCGGACGCCCCCGCGGCCCCCGCGGCCGCCGCGGACAGTCCGCCCCGCCGGGACACACGCCGTCGGCGCGCTCGCACAGCCCCAACCCGCAGATCAGGACGTTCTCGGCGCAGTTTCCCAACGACGACGACGACGTGGAGAGGCACCCCGCCGACTGGTTCAACCCGGGCGTGACATCGCTCACGTCGGTGGCCACGCAGACACAGCCACCCGCGCCCGCCAGTGCCTCCAGCGCGCACAGCTCACCTGCCGTGTCCAGGGTACGTACCGCGTGCGCGTCAGCGCGACAGAGATGGGGTTGGTGGATTCGGTGGGAGGGAGAGAGACGGCCCGCGCGGCGTCGACCCGCCCGTGCGTTAAGGTCTCCATGGAGTCTCTGCAGCGCGGAGTAGCGCCGCGCGTGCGGTACGTTGGGCTGCCTACGCGCCCGTCTGCAGGGGCTACACTGCGATGTGGATGGTGGACCGTCTGACGTGGTAACTTGTTTTTGCAGTGGGCGTCCCCCAGCGTGCCCAGGGCGTCCACGCTGCCCCGCAGCCTGTCCCGGGGCTCCCCTCGGCGCGCCCGCCGCCTCAGCGATTCGCTGGGCCTGAGCGTGAGCAGGGCGGCCAGCCCCGCGAGCCACGGCGGCAGCCTCGGGGGCAGCCTGGCACCCACCGCGTCGTCCATGCCCCCCGCCAGCCTGTGCCCCAGTCCCAGCCCCAGCCTGTGCCCGAGCCTCAGCCCCTCCAAGTGCGTCGGCAAGCTGCAGACCGTGCGCAAAACGTCGCCGTCCAACACGCTGCTGTCCTGCGCGTCGAGCCGGGCGAGCCGCGCCAGCGCAGCCAGCAGGGCCAGCGCCTCCACCTCGGGCATGAGCAAGGCCTCCTCCGGGTACAACTCGTCCGGGACCCGCAGCGGGTCGCCCACCACCTCGGCCACGACGGTGACGACCACCGCGGGGACGCGACGGTCGCTGCCGACGCCCACCAAGAGCCCCTTCACGTCGCTGGTGAGTGTTCGTTTTATTCACGGGCTGCCACTGCAGGTACGCTGATGATCAGAAATGAACCCCGTGGCCTGTTGCCGCCGTTTGCGTTTTGTTTCGTTGCCAACAACTCTCTTTGCGAAGCTAATCGAATCGTGCTCCCCTCGTGGCCCTTGCCGCCACCGCCTGCGCCGCCTCGCGCGGGCTGACCCCCTTGTGACCCTAGCAGTGTGCCTGCTCCCCGAGACTCTCCGGGTCCGGGGCTTAGCTCTCGGCCAGTGGCCTCCCTCCCTCGCCTTTCTAATTAGCGCCGCGAGCCGTGAGCCTCGGAGTCCGGCTGGCACTTTCTTTATAAAGACACTGGCGTGCCTGACCCCCGCCTCATCTGCGATCGCACACCGTGTTGCAGGGCTCGCCGTCCGGCCGGAACTCCACCACGACGACGGCCACCATCAACGGCGGCAACACCAAGATCTACGTGCAGCAGCACAACGCGCCCGTGCGCTCCGTCATCACGATCGAGAACAGGTCCTCGGGCGAGCACACGGTGGTGACGCGCCGCGGCGGCATCCTGGAGACCAGCTTCGACCGCGCCGTGCCCAAGAGCAGCAGCAGCGTCGCTGGCGGTGGCGGCGGTGGCGGCGGTGGCGGCGCGCCCGTCCTGGACGCGGTCACGACCCTCACGCCCGCCGTCTCGCCCGGCGCCTCCCCCGCCTCGGACCCCGAGTACTCGCACAACAAGATCAACAACCACAACCTGAGCGGCAAGCTGCACCCCGTGACGTCGTCGTCGTCCTCAACAGCGTCGTCCGAGGAGTCACTTACCTCCGCGGGCTCGCTCGTCACCAAGGAGGCGAAGGACGCTGCCGAGATGAACAACATCCGCAAGCTGTCGCTCACGGCGCCCGCACCGGGGTTCCTGCGGGAGAGCCTCAGCTACAAGAACATCCTGAAGGAGGTGCAGAACTACACGGGCGGGCAGACTCAGCAGCAGGCCCAGCCCGCCAGTCCGTACGCCAGCCTCTCCGACCTGTCCGTGCACTGCAAGTCGCTGGCGGCGCAGCGCATCCTGTCGGGCGTGAGCATCAACTCCATCGACACCCTGGTCGAGGTGAACATGGCCGCCAGCGTGGCCAGCGGCATGGCCGCCGACAAGAAGACCAACTGCGACGTGACCATCCGCACCGACTTCGGCATGGTGTGAGCGGTGGCCTGCAGGCCTGCACCATGGCCACAGCAAATCAAAGTAATTGTTATTTCGTGAATTTCCGACGCGTTCGCCTTGTGGCCCGCGCGGATCGAAACGTACTTATTCGTGCCATAGGCCGGTCATAGGCCAGGTGCCTGCATAGCCTGCATGTCTCCGGCCACCGGCGACGCCGTGTCCTCTTCTCGTGCCTTTCCTCCTCCTCCTCTATCCCTTCCCTCTCTTTCTCTCTCTCTCTCTCTCTCTCTCTCTCTCTCTCTCTCTCTCTCTCTCTCTCTCTCTCTCCTTGGAGTGCTCGGGGGGCGTTCTCTCGAACGGTAGCAGTGACTCGAGTCCGGACACCGACGACTCGTCCCGGTTTCAGGGTGCCCAGTCTCGCTGACGACGATAGTACGGTACTTGGCGACGCGCACCTGGCTAGCCGCAAATCTGAGTTTCAGAACCTAGTTGCCGCTTGCGGAACTCTCGTCGTTTGCGAGATGGATTTTGTCACCCGAAATCCGATGTCTCGTCGGGTTGCGGACTTTGGGCTCACCATGTAGTTGGGGTCTTTGCGATCTTTCGAAGCGAAAGCTGCGTGGAAGACCAGCGGAAGGGTGTCTTGTCTGCTTCGCCTTTTCTTTGCTGTGCCAACCAACCACGTCCGTCCAGACAAAACGACAATCAACGACAAAAATAATGCGAAAGGATCTGTTGCAATGATTTATTGATATTTCATGTGCCTTATTTAAATCCTATTCAATTTGACTTTTGACAAAAAAAAATTTGTAATTTATATGTTGCATTTAATGTGTACTGTAATGTGATAGTAGAAGTTGATCTAGCATAGCAGTAAGATTCGTGTACCTTAAAAACTTTGGTTTAAAAAGAATTTTTTTACTGTCGTTCAAAATGTAAATTAATGTTATCTTGAAACCGAAACGACCTTTCTCAACTTCTTAACGCGAGGAAGGTTTTAGTATGAAGTGTAAAATCCCATTACTTTCCAGTGGGGGAGTCAAATGGTGATATTACAGCCAAAAAGCGTGTTCCATTCTGCTTATTTCTTCACTTGACCAGCATAAAAACAGCTTTTCCTCCCGCGGTTTTTCGTATAAGATGTGTACATAGTTGTGTTAATGTTGAAATGCTGTCAGTTTGTGCTGAACGTATGAGTGCACCTCATGTTTGCTTTGTGCTCCCCTTTCCGAACGGTTAAATCGAAACAAGTTCTAAGATCAGTATCTCGTGTGTGTGTGTTTAATCTTGAAGGTTTTTATTTTTTTAAACCTTGTGAAACATACTTGATTAGATTGAGGCTTCGATTTTTCTTTGTCATGGAATAAATGATTTTTATTGTTTTGACCCGCCCGTGGATATATTTTCAAAAAATGTATATACACCATCCACAAAACTGTAAATTATACGCTCCATATGGATTTGTGTTTTACGATTGTTTTGTGAGAATCTCGTCAGCATGTTTTATTTTGTGAATAACATGTAATAAAAGCCACTAACGTAGCCTGGCCGTATTTCATTTTCTTTATGTCCACTCTTAAGTGTCCCGATGTGAACGTCTGGCCGTTGTCTGTCGCGCCGGTGAAGTCTCTCGGTGCGGGAGTAGCCACGCGGACAGGCCGAGAGTCTCGCAGGCGAGGAGTAGCGCCGCGCGGCGCGGCAAGGGGTATCGACGCTGTGGCAGGGGTGACGGGAGGGCAAGGAGCGCTGCTTGCGGGCGGCGGGCAAGCCCACGGGCAGCCACATGGAAACAGCCTTGCGAATCCTGGACACCAGCGTCTTTCAGCTTTCAGGAACTCAGATTTTCACCAGCAGCACCACGGCAACCAGGGTGCGCCACTGCGTCGACTCGTGCTGTGGTGTTTCCAATCGCACGACGCATGGCGTTGTTCTACCATCAACCAATTAATTACCCGTTCCCCTTTGGTGCACTATTTAATTGAATAATTGTTAAAACGCTTCCGTCACTGCATCTTCCCATCCCCTGCTGGCGCTGTGCGGCCTGCGTCATGGCGTCCCCGTCGACGTCACCGAGTCCCCGAAGCCGATGACGCGCCTCAATGTACGCGCCCCTGGGGGCCGGGGCCGCCAGCCGCCAGGGCGCGAGGAGGACAGGCTTATGGCGTTGGGAACCACGACCGGATAGGGAAGGAGTCTGCGATGCATGGAAAAGGCAAAGGGGGTGTCTGCCTGCTGCCGCGTTGCACCCAGGTCGTCGTCGCCGGCCTCAGCGCGCGAAGGGCATGCTTCACCGACGTCGAACGGCACACAGCTGGAGGGGTCGCGGCGCGCACACGTCGCACGTCGCCTTGCAGCCCCCGGCAGCCCTGCAGCCTTTCAGTCTTTCAGTCCGTCTGACTTCTGAGGTAGCGGAGACGAAAAGATGAAGATGAAGAGTCCCCTTGCCTCGGGCGAGGGGAGGGGGGGGGGCAGCGGTACCCGTCCAGGCCGTCCAGGTGTGCAGGCAGCTGCAGCGTGCTGGCGGTGCTGGCGGTGCAGCAGCCCGGCGGAGGGTGGCGTGCTGGCCGTGCAGGCCGTGGTGCTGCAGGCGGCACGTGCCGCGCGCAGCAGCCCGACCATCCCGTCGTCCGCACTCACACACACACACACACACACACACACACACACACGCACATACACTTCCACGCACACATACGCGCTCACAATGCAGGGAGGCGCAGAGTTGCGTCGCTGGTCCGCTTGCTCCGCTCCGCCCGCTTCCGGACATTTCTCATACCTGTTTGCCGCGTGCTGTATGGTGGATTAGCCGTCCCAAGGAAAACTCTGCACAATGCCTTTTTGGAGCGGATGTATGGTAATGCGCTGCGGCCTGCGGCGTGGCGGTGCGGCCTTTCGGCTAGGGCTTCAGGGTTTCGACGCGTCTTCCCGTGAAATGATGGTTCGCGGGTTTGATGCTGAGCCAGTGGGCCGCGCCGCTGGAGCCGCTGGAGCCGCTGGAACGCTCCACGGGGCCCATCGTCTGGGCCATGACCCCAGACAAGAGACAAGGGCTCTTGAGGCCGGGATGCTCGCTGATCACATCAGCGGCAAGAGCGAGAACCCGCCGAAAATGTGTTGGAAAGTGTGGGCCGCGGTTAACTTCGCCTCCGCCGTCTCGCCGATTGGGGTTTCTTATTGGCCGTCCGCTCGCGTCCCCGCGGCGCTAGCGCGCTAGCGAGCTCCGTCTTGTTGACCTTCTGCGATTATTCCGTCCAATACCAAGGCGCGCCGCGGCGGCGAGCCCTCAGCGCGGCCCGGTCGCTGCGTCTCAGTCGCGCCCCTACGGATCTGGCCGCGAGTGCGAGAGAGGGCACTGCTGGGCCTCCTCCTCGCCGGCCGCCTCTCCCCCTGGACAGTCGACCTTGGCCCCGCCATTGTCGTCGCAGGGCTCGCAGGATCACGAGAGTCCTCATGGCGACCTTTCCTCGGCTCCCCGGGGACGATGGTCCTCTCCGAGCCTTGGCCGTCCTCCCTCGCGGCTCACGTCCGAGGCGACTAAGTCCTCTAAGTATGCCAGGGCGTTGATGCGCGGCGCGCCACCCCGGCATGCCCGGCAGCACACTATACCACTTTGCTCGAGCGGCGCGCGGCAGTAGCAGCAGTAGCAGCAGCGAGCCCCCCTTATGAATGCGCTGGCACGCGCATCGGAGCCATGGGGGCGGGCCGGGGGAGGAGGGGAGTGCGTGCGTGGTGCAGGGGCGTACGGGGGCGGCGCGGGGGCGGCGCCGGCCGAGTGGGGGCACTTGCGTCGAGTTGGCAAGGGCAGAGAGGGGCGGTTTAGGCCGCGGCGCCTCACCAGGTGATCCCGAGCCGCACGCGCCCCCTGTGTTACCGTGTTATGCCGGTTGCCTACTTTGTTGTATACAAAATTCCTACAACTAGTGGGCCCGGATCCATCATTTAGACTATTGAATGAAAAATGGGCATGCTGCCGAATCCTAAGCCTGTAAATTGGCCCCTTCCAAATATGAAACACTTTCAGTGAGTTATTTAGCGAGTGCACGCCACGAGGCTCTGAAAAGACAAACCATACACAGGGCGGTACCTGGCGGTACCCGAGAGAGCCCCTGTCAGCCCTGCACCACTGTACTTGCCCGTCGAGGCGCGTGTACGTTTTTCTTCTGGCCCTTCACTTATCACCATTCATCGATAGGGCTTTGGCCCAATATTGACAAAGTGGTTGTAAATTTCCCCCGCCCTCCCCACGCTCTTTTTTCAGTAGGGGTAGTTTCCCGCTCGGTAGCCGGACGGAGCAAGACGGCAAGGTGAGGGTCCTCCCTCGCAGACGGCCCGCCGGGGCCGCCCACCCCCCGCACGGCGCCTCGGAGGCAAGGCTCGGAAGGCGTGTAAACAGTGGGCTTCATCACGTCCCGAATAATAGAAAATGTAATTAAAAACGAACGAAGCCATATTCAAGTCTGTCTTGTTGATGAAGAGAGGCCACTGCATCGCGTGACCGAGCCAGACTGAGCCCGCCGCCGGCGTCGTGGCGCGACGTGGCGCGACGCGGCGTCGCGCGTCGGGACTTGATTTAACCCCCACCCCCGAGCGACTTTGAAAAACACCCAGGCTTGTTTGCTGGCGGGACCACGACAGCGGGGTTCCCTGGAGTTTCCAGGCGAGATCCTGCTTCCAGGCTGGCATCATCATGCCCCACACGTGCTCTGCAGTTCGACACTATCTGCCTCATCGATCGAATGCCATCATGAAATTTGCTTTCGACTCCCCCCCCTCGGCTTCATCCGGCCGCAACGTGACGCAGCGGGGGAGGGGGATCCTATTGGCGCCTCATTAGGTGGCGTGGCCGTGGAGGGTATTTCATTAACTAGTCGCCACCTCGCAGTGACTCCTGCTTGCTCCTGCGCTCCGGGTTTCAGTTTGCGACGCAGACCATGAGGTCGACCAACCATGAGGTCGACCAACCAAGAGGTCGACCAACCACGAGGTCGACCAACCAAGAGGTCGACCCACCATGAGGTTGACCGAGGAACACGCAGGCCGCCCAACCCGACCCGAGTCCGTCGAACCAAATTGAACGTCGGTGAGCTCGGCTGGCTCGACGGTGCCCTTTGACGCCAGAGGTGTCTGCAGGGCGAGTGCGGCGAAAGGCAGCGCGCTGTGGCGGACTTGCTGGACCGATTCGGGGAACCGGACCGCGCCGTCTTCTCCTCCAACGCCCAGCTGGAGTTCGTGTCGCATCGGGCGCGCCGATTCCGAGGGCCTCTCTCTCTGTCGCACTACAGGGCGTCCTGCACGGGAGCAAGAGAGACAGACTCAAGCCCCCGCTGTTCGGAAAAGGCCTGGGGCCTCGCCTTTGTGCATCCCCGTGCAAATGCAGGCCAAAGCCGAGCCCGCCTCTTTTCGCGCATTTTGGAAATCAGCTGTGTTTGTGTTGGAGTCGCTGCACGATGCTGCATGGCTGCACCGCGACCGGAGTTGGCGCTGCAAAGGATCTCAATCTCCACCAATCTCCACACCGCGATCCATCCGGATCTGATAATGAACTGGATTTGATTCGTAATCCTGCAGCGCGCTGCTCCGCTGCCTCACTGCAGCTCCAGGTGGAGACAATGGAGACGCCCGAGCAGCTGGAAGCACGCTGGAAGTGTACTGATGTCCTATTAACGCGACGACGAACCGTTCCTACACCTCAGTGATGCAATCGCCACACCACCCGGCTACACTGTCAGCGCCTCCCGAACTGTTACTAAGTTCAGAGCAAAACACGAATTTAAAAGAAATTATACTAGATATTTGAAAATCTACAAGGCGCATTGAGATTATAGTTTTGAGTCTTTAGTGTCGTGTCGTTTGTGGTTCCATTCATTTCGGGGTGGTGGGGGAAAACACCAACACGAACCTTTGCTAAATAAATTTCAACTATTTAAATAATTTAAATTGGACAAATTTTTGGCACGGCACGGCAACACTGCGTCTGCGAGGAACATTACCCTCGGCCACATGTGTCGCGTCGCGTCGCAGAATGCGTCTCTTTAATGCTCCCGGGTTAAAAATGGAAGTCGCCAAGCCGCGCCGCTACCGGATCGCAGACTGCAGGGCAGCGCGGCACAGCGAGGCCCCCGCCGTGATTAACGAACGACGTGTGCAAAGAGCGGCCAAATGAAAGAAAATAAAACGGAAAACGAAAAGCGACGCCCAAATGGAAGTCCCGGCGACGTCAAGGCACCGAGTGACACCGCGCCGAACCACCCGAAGGCTCCGAAGGCCCCGAAGGCGAGCCGAGCCGAGCCGAACGGCCGGAGCGCGCGCGAGCAAGCGAGCAAACGAGACGCGAGGCAAGCGAGCCAAGCGCACCGCACCTAACCACCCTGCCGCGCTCCCTGGCGCCCCTGGCGGCGGCGGGGCGAAGCTTCTGGCGCAACGGCCGAAGCCGACGACGCTCCAAGCAAAACAAACCCGCAAACGGCAGGCTAGCGCGGCGCGGAGCGGACGCTGCGGGACAGGCGCGTGTGGGAACGCGCGCGCGCGTGTGTTTGTACGGTGCGCGTACAAAGACATTTTACCAGTGCAGTGAAAGTCATCAGACAGTGTGACAGTGAAGTGAACCACAAGTGACGCCCCGTTCTGGATTTGGCAGGGGCCCGCAAGAATTGTGTTCCCAGTGGTGGATTAAAAATAACCAAGAGGTAACTAAGAAGGCACGGCTGCACGAGGATGCAGCCCTTTGAATGGGGGATGCCCCAGTGCGTTGCAGTGGTCCCTCGCAGGTTGCAGTGCTGCCTGCCCCTGCCTGCCCGTCGGCGACGTCACCACCGCAGTATCTTGCCGCAGCATCTCCTTGCAGTGTGCCCGTCGATCCGTCGTTCAGCGAATCGCCGCCGCGCTTATCGGGTTCAAGAGTTCACACCGCGTGCCCGCTGGGCTGGTTGCCTCACTCGCTGGCGTAGCTCGAAGCTGGCGTCAATGGACAGCCAGCCGGCTGAAAGTGCAGGCGGCGTAGCAGGACCCCCGAGAGCGAACAGCGAGAGCCCGCCAAACCGAGAGCGCCCTAACCTCTCGACGCCGGCCGGTACCGGGCGCGCCAGGTAGTACCGGCGTACCGGCGGCACCCCTTCCACTCCACTGGCAGGCCGGCCGGCTTTGGCGCGCAGGTACCCGGTACTCGTGTTGGCGCGCCGGCCCGTCCTTTGTCTCTGCAGGAAGGGGAGTGGGTGGAGAGGAGCAGGGGATTTATTCGAGACACGGCCACGGCGTGCCGCGGCGTGCCGGCGTGCCCCTGGTGACATTGGGCCGAAGGACGGTCGCCCAGGACGTCCAGGACGTGGCTTATCAGCGCGGCCTCGCAGCTCCGTTTCTCTTCCTTCGGCATTTTGGACCTTTTTCGGACGGTCGGGTCAGAGGGCGTTTATTTTGCCCGCCCAGGGGCGGTCAGGGGGGCGGGGGAGGGGGCGGTCGCGGGCGGTGGCCGCACAGAGGGCCTCGCCGCGCCGCTCAGCACCGTGGCCAATGGGCTCGTTCCGGGCCGTGCCGCCGTGCCGGTGTGCGGCTGCGGCTTGGAAAGTTGCACAAAAGCCTCTCTTTCTCGGCCGCCGCGGTGCCGCGGTCCTACTCCGGGGAGGGGGAGGGGGTGGATTGCAAGCCTGCCGCCCTTGACTGGTCATCGCGTCGGGGTGGAGCGGGGCGAAGGCCTGAGGGGCGTTAGGGCCGGTCCCTCGGGTCAATCCGGGGATCGAGCCGCCGGCCTAGGACTCTGCTTTGGGTACCGCGGCGTGGGCCGTGGGCCTCTGCCAATAATGGCTTCCGGCGGCCGATTGTCACCGCTTCCTGGACAGAGGCCTCGGCCTCCAGGCTCCAGCTCCAGGCCTCGCAAATGGCGTGCTGGGCGATGGGCGGGCGGTGTTGCCAGCTGGGTCTGCCCCGCTCGCCCCGCTGCGGGGTCAACGCGAGGTTTGGCACGCTGCGAGCCTTGCGGCTTGAATCGGCGCGCTGCGGACTCAGTCTCTCTGTCTCTCTCACAGCTTTCCGAATGCATAGTCACTGCAATGCCAGTCTGGTTAGCGCTGGGGCCTCGCGGGCCTCGGACTGACCTAGACCGCTGCTGCCGCTACCGTCCCTGGAAGCGGGCAAGCCACGGCAAGCCACGGCAAGGCGGCAGCACACGCACACGTAGGTGTGAAAGTTGTGCGGAGGGCGTCAAGCCGTCCCCGCGGTGGCGCAATGGCCGGTCACGCGGAGCCACGCGGGCCTCGGCCAGCCCCGGCCCGGCCCCGGCCGGCCCCAAACTGGTCGCACTTCCGGCGATAAGAGCCGAGCGGAAAGAAGTTTGTGCTTGCAAACACACGCACACACTGACTGTCAACAGAAAGCTTTTCTCTTTGGCCGCCAGGCGCAGGTATTTTGTGGTGTGTGGGAGCGAGTCGCCGTGCGTTGATATCACCGCGAGGCGTGGTCGAGGCGCCGCGATGCATCATCCCCTGCAAGGCGCTGCAAGGCTGCGATGTGGAGCGCGGCGCGCCGGCAGCGCCGCCAGCCCGGCCGCCAGCCATTCGGTTCACACTTTCGTTGAAAAAGTTACGTGTGTGTGTGGCGTGGCCGGGCGTGGCGCGCGGTACGGCTGCCTGCTGGCTGCCACCCCTGCCTGGCCGGTCGACGGGCAGACAGTCAGACCGACCCCGGAGTCGGGTCGAGACGGCACCGTCCTGACCGGTCCGACGGGGCTGGCAGGCAGGCAGGGCGGCAACTCTTGAGCAAGCCGGGGGGTTGAGCAGACGGCGAGCGGACGGCGAGGCGGTCGTCAGGCAGACGGACCGACACGGCAGATGTTCGATGCTCTGCCAGCCCCAGTCGGCGCGGGTCGGCGCGGGTCGGCGTGGGTCGGCGCGGGTCGGCGCGGGTCGCACCAGCCCCGTGAGGCCCTGCGCCGACCCGCGCCGACCCGACCAGCCCCCAGCTGTCTGAGCCGCGCTGCCCCGCGCCGCCCCGCCGCTACGTCGAGCTCGAGCCGCTATGCTGCGGTGTGCGCCTCGGTGCCTTGGCCTCGGCCGCCTCGGTCCAGGTTTTAGGTACGCCCTGCGAGGACGCGCTGCTCGCGGCGTTGCTGGGCGAGTCCGCGACGCCGCGCCAGAACCGAACAACCGAACTTGAACCTCCCCCTCCCTGCTCCGCCCCTGACGGGCCGGCGGATGTCGGTCTTTATTTCCACAAGCAACAGAGTGCAGCAGCGCCGTTCGCTGCGCAAGTTTGCACGCGGCGCGCGTCGCGCTCGGCGTCGCGCTCGGCGCGCTGCGTCGCAGGGAAATGGGCGCAACTGAAGCGCGACGGAGCAGCCTCTCGAGAGGCTAGCGGCGGCCACCCGCCTCGCCTGCCGTCCCTCTCGCACTTATAGGCCGCGTCGAAGGGAGAGAGAGACGGTGCACTGCAAAGGAATCAGGTGTGCGACTGGTGGCCTACCATCGCGGGAAGTCGCGGGGTTCCAGAGTGTGGCCCATCCACTCGAAGATTTCCCTGTCGACTCCCGTGCATTTTGTTGGAGGTGTTCCAGCGGCGTGGTTCGGCAAACCCCTTCGGGTCCTTCTGGGTCCTTCGGACGGCCTGTCCTTGAAACGGGTCACGAATTGTCGCGCCGGTCCGCCGCCCGGTCCACTGCACTGGTTCGCGCTCCTCAAACAAAGGGACGGCGGTCTGGATCCGTAAGCAGCGCTCGTCTTCTCTAATAAACGACGCCAAACCGACAAAAAAAGGGTGAAAAAAAATTAACAGCCGAAAGGGAGAATAAAATGGTTGAAAGCGCGACGTCCGTCCGTCCCGTAAATCTCTGTCGCCGCTGTCTCTCTCTTTCTCTTTCTGCGGGTCCCGTTCCGTTGTTGTCTCGCTCGCTCTGCGCCGCCCTGCGCACTGGCGCGTTTATTTGAGTCGCGCACGTATTGGCGTGGCAGCGGCGCACGTGGCGACTTGAGGGTCCGAACTTTTCGTCAGTCTGTCTCCCTCGCACTCGACAGCGACGAAGCGCTCTGTTCGGAATCCGTTTCGAAACGAACAACCCCGAACGAGAAACGAGGTGCACTCTGAAGGACCGTTTCGTCGCTCTGTCTTTCTCTCACTCCTGCGGGACGCCCTCTGAGCGCGACAGAGACAGAGCGGCGAAACGGGCCTCTGCTGGGCAGGGTACTGAAGGTGAGACTTGTGCGAACGAGCGAGGGAAACTGCGTTAGTCTGCCCCATGATGAGCGCCAGAGTGTGTTTACGCTAACTCGGTTTCTCGGCACTAATCCCGTCTGCAGCGTGCGACGTCGTGATCGTGATGCGTCGTGCGACAATGAGGCGGCAAAGTTTACCGATTTCCATCCCCAAAATGGCAGCAGGCCGATTCCAAGCAGGGCTTTCCTGTCTCTCTCGCACTCGGGCGCCGTCCCGTGAGAGCGCGAGAAGCACTTATGTCGTGTCAGCCCGCGCTCATCGCCGCGAAGAACGGGGTCGTGTGGCAGTCCCATCGAAGACGCCCGCTCACGCGTCCGCGGACCGACGACAACCCATCAAATTCACATGGACCGCGCGTGACAGGTTTCGGCCACATCCGCCTTCTTGACCCGCGCAACTCAACCTTGGCATGCATCAAAGATAAGGCCACGCTTGGGTCTGTGAACGGGACGGCGTTCCCGCGTGGCGCCGGGCGGCCCCGCGTGGCCGCGCGAACCGGCTTTTCGTTCTCCTCCCGGGCTATGTTTAGCGCTGCAACTGACGAACTGACAGTGTTCATTGTGGTGCACCTGCCGCGCGTGCGCTCCGCCACGCCACGCCCCGCCACGCCCCGCCACGCCCCGCCACCGTATTGGGTGCTGTGCGCCAAGGCGGTATGCCGCGGGGCGGGGCGGCGCCGCGCGGCGGCTATTTTTAAAAACGTGTTCACAGTGTATACTGCTTTCTTGCGGCGCGGGCTGTTGTCCCGATGTCGACCACATAAACCTATTTTCGCTTCAATTCGAAGTGAGAGCCGCGGCGGCGCGGCGGCTGTCCGCCCGGGCTGTCTGTCGGGATACGTGCCTACTACGTGTACGCCGCGTCCGTGCCCGCCCGGCCGCCTTCCGAACGCGCCCCGACCGACCCGCATGTCGCCTTCGGCCCTTCCCCGATCGGCATCCGAACGCGAATCGCAATGTGAATGCGTCGCGCGTTTCTGACGCGGCCGTTATCGCCGCTCGGCCTTTCGGTTCGGGGCGCTGCTTTGCGTTATTGACATTGAACCCGCTATCGCTGTCGTCATTCCGTGGTGCGCTGCGGCGGGGCCTGCCCTGCCTGCCCGCCTGCCTGCCTGCCTGCCTGCCTGCCTGCCTGCCTGGCGGGCGGCATCAGCTGACTGACTTACGGACGCCGGCATCCATTGGGCGAGGGCGGTGACTGGCACCCCGCGACTACGCGGCGACTACGCGAGGGCGGGCAGGGCGGCAGCGCGGCGCGCTTGGAGGAGTGGCGCTTAGCAGCCTCAGTGGCACTTGCGGCGGCGTGTGGAGTGCACGGAGTGGCACGGAGTGGCACGGAGTGCAGCACGGCGGTGAGGGACGCGAGGGAGGGAGCGAAAGCGAGGCCACGTCGCGAGGGGGAGGGGAGGGGCGGCGACCCCTTCTGTTTGGGTGCGGGGTGCGGCCGGGGTCCGCGGGGTCGGTCCCTCCCTCGGCGGTGGTGGTCCACTCGCAGGTGCGGCGGGGGCGGGGCAGGGCGGGGCAGGGCGGGGCGCCGGCCCTTGACCGTGACGGCGTGCTGGGCCGCGCCGTGGCTGCGCCGGGGATCTTTTCGGGGGCCTCGCGGCCTTCCCCTTCCCGCCGTGCCCCGCCACCCCCAGCATCGAGCGCGTAAAACTTTTGAGGTGCAACTTTTTATTGTCCACCCCACCCACAGAGACTTGCGACTCGGAAAAAAAAAGGGAGAAACTTTTGGTGCGTTTGTGGGAGAGCGCCAATTTGGCAGCCGGTTTGAAAAAAAAGAAGAAAGTAATACAAAATGTGAAGACGCACGCGGCGAGTGCGCGTGAATGATACTGCTGACGTCATCCTCTCGCAGCATCGTGTGATTCACATTTCTGTATCTTCCGCTGGCGGCGATAGCCGATTCGGCTAGTCGTCGATTTCGTCGTGTCGAGTTACGTAAATTTTGCGCGGAGGTCGTTAGTCGTTATGCGTCGCGGCCGATAGTAGGAAACGTCTGATTCCGAAACTCATTTCGTTGTTGTCTCTGTCGCCCCATGTGTGCGACAAAGACAGAGTGACGGTTTTGGCAGGCGGTGCCTGTCGCCTTTTCGCGTTCAGAAAGCGTTGTTACGTGGTATATGGACGGTCCCCCTGCGGCGCGCGGGGCGCAGCGAGCGCAACGAGACGCAGCTGTCGCAGCGAGCGCGCCGCCGTGCCGCCGTGCCGCCAGAGCGCCGGAAGCCGAAACGCCAGCCAGGGCGAGGGCCTCGGCCACCTCCTGGCGGCGCAGCGGCGCGGCGGCGCGGCGGCCATGGCGGAGCGAGCGTGCCGAATGAGCCAAGCCGTTCCGCTCGTACGGTTTCCGTCCGCAGCCCGATTGCTTTTTGCCTGTCGTTCGGCTCTACTTGAACGGGAAAACGCTCCTCGAAGGCGCACTTTCTTCGGACAAGGCAGGATGGCCGTCGTCGCCGTCCTCGGCTCATCGCCACTATCGCCGTGGACGTCAGCGTCTTATCATCGGCGTGGTCGGCGATGGCGACTTGTGCAATGGCCAAGTCGCGCGCGCGTCGCGCCGCCACCAGGCGATGCCGGGTCGTATGGAAATTGTGCGTCGGAGTGCCACTTTCGTGTGGCCGGTTCGAACCGAACGCGCACGTGTTCGCCGCGCTAGCGAACCACATCCGCGTCCACGGCGATTGGCATTCACTGCGGTCACTGCGAAACACCGAAACGCCGCGGAACAGTGGCGGCGTTGAACTGAACCCCGCGCGTCGACGCGGAAGAGACCGACTGATGAAACTTGCAGTGTAACTGACGTGCCCCTTTCCTCGCTTTGTGTTTCAGGCTGGGCGCGTTGGCCCCGCAGCCATGATGCCGGCATGAGCGCGGCGGGGAGCCAGGGGCCTAACGCCCTGGGGCCCCAGTATGGCGGTGTCGGGGGAGGGGGCGGCTACTCGGTCCCCACCCCGACCTCCACCGTGCACGACGACTACCCGCACGACGTGAAGGTGTCCGCCGCGTCGGGACTGCCGCCCTTCAGCTCGTTCGAGATGGCGGACGTCGGCCACACCTACACGCAGCTGGACCACCCCGCGCCATGGGACTACTACGGCGAGGGCCTGACGGGCCGCCTCATGGACCGGGACATGCACAACATGCACCAGCCCAACTACCGGCCGTGGGAGAGCAAGCCCCTGGACGGCAGCGACCCGGGCCCGCCACCGCCCGGCCACCCCAACGGGGGCCCGCCCGGCTTCCCCGGCAGCAAACTGCCGTCCTTCCAGTCGCAGTTCTCGTTCGGCGAGCAGCAGAACCCGGACGGCACGCTGACGCCGCTGCCGCCGTCGTCCACCCCCGCGTCGCCCAGCAGCACGTCGTCGGGGCTGCCTAGCTTCCACACGCTGTCCGCCGTGCCCGTGCCCGGCGTGCCCGTCGGCGTCCCCCGGGGCTACCCGCTGGTGCCGGCGCCCGTGCAGGCGCGCGAGGTGCCCGCCATCCAGCAGCAGCTCATGGACGAGCGGCACATCCACCTGGCCTTCGGCGGCGTGCCCCCGGGCGTACCGCCGCCGGGCGTGCCCCCGCCGGGGCTGCCGCCCCACCAGCAGCTGTCGCAGTTTCACCATCCGCTGATCCCCGGCCACCCAACCCACCCGGGCCACCCGGCCCATCCTGGCCACCCCGGCCACCACCCGGTGCTCACCATGGTCAAGAGCGAGCCCGTGACCATCGTGACGTCGACGCCGCCCCAGCTGACGCAGCTCCACCACTCCAACTTCCAGAACCCCATGAGCATGTTGGACAAGTGCGACGAGAACGGCCACCTCGGCAAGCTGGAGGACGCTGGCCTGCGCGGCCTGGACTCGCGGAAAAAGGAGCGCAGAAAGGCGCGGGCCTCCTCCATGGAGAGCTCGGCCGAGTCGGACGGCGCGGGCTCCAGCAGCCTCGAGTCGTCCGGCCAGGTCGCCGCCGTGTCGTCGACGGGGTCGGGCTTCAAGTCGCCGCTGCAGACCGCGCCGCCCGTGACGCAGGGCCCCGGCTCGGACGACGGCGAGAGCTCGTCCGGCGAGAAGCCCGTCAAGAAGAAGCGGAAGCGCTGCGGCGAGTGCATCGGCTGCCAGCGCAAGGACAACTGTGGCGACTGCGCGCCGTGCCGCAACGAGAAGAGTCACCAGATCTGCAAGATGCGGCGCTGCGAGAAGCTCACCGAGAAAAAGGTAAGTCCAGAGGCGGGGGTTCGAGACCCTCCCCGCCGCGGAGGCGCGCGCGTTTTCAGGGTCCAGCAGTTTTAATTGCGGCCGAGCGGTGCCGGGATGGCGTCTATTTGGACGCCGTCGTCGTGGTCGAGAGCGTCGCGGTGCCGCTGGGCCACGCTCTAGTAACGCTACGCCGCGGCCACGCCGCCAAGCTGGTAGAGTGCTCTTTCCGCGTGGCCGCGTGGGCACCGCGGGCACGCCGACGTACACGGCGGCCGCGTCCCGGTAAAGCGCCGCGCCGTTTGAGTCTGCGACGCGGCAGACGCGGCCGCGACGTCGCCGACGTGTGCTCAAAGGGACCAAGACCAAGGGGACCAGGCCAATTAGCGCGAAAACTACTGACGCTGTCGGCGGGGCGCGGGCGGCGGGGGCGGGGGCGAGTCTGGGCGTTCGCCGCGACGCGCCGCGCGCGATGCCGTCCCGGGTACCGCTCGGCCACGCTCCGCCACGCTCGGCGGCGTGCTTTTTATGGACTCGGCTTTCGGGCACGCGGGTCCCTTTTTGCGCACACGACGCGGCGCAGCGAGCAGCGAGCAGCCAACGGTGGCGGCGAGTCGACGACGTCGTCCGGGGACGTTGGCCCGCCGGAAAGCGTCGTCGGAAAGGCGCGATGCGTCCGTGTCCGATTGGCCGCTTCCGGGCGGCGCGACCGGAGCCCGCCCGGAGCCCGACCGGAGCCCGACCGGAGCCCGACCGGAGCCCGACCGGAGCCCGCCGCCGGAGGTACGTACCGGAGGTGCAGCATCAAAGCCATGCAAACGAGTCTGGCTGGCGGTGCTTCGTCGACGCCGTCGACGCGGTGCTCGCGGCCGCGGAGCTCGCCGTCGATGAACCTGGCCTGGGTGCGGCGCGGGGCGCGGGGGACGGGGTCGTGAGACCCACTGTCTATATGGCACATCCTGTCGGTGATTGAATTAAGCCGGACTCGGCCCAAATCCGAGCTTCCCGCCCGCCCGTCCCGGCCGTCCCCTAACCGGGCCCCCGAGCGGGCGGCGCGACACTCGGAAAAACAGCCTGAAATTGTGCGAAGGGCGGCGGCGCGCTGAACAGGGGTAGCTTTGCGGCGGCGAGGGCACGGCAGCGCGCGGAGTGCGTGCCGGCCATGCCGTGATTCGTCGGGATTTCGGCCGGCTTCCTGTCGGTGATTGCTGCCCTCATCCAGGGTGAGGTCTTGCTGCCGCCACTGCCATGGCACTGCCACCCATTTGTTCCAATCAACACTGCGTTTTTAAATCAAGTGTTGTCCGCGCGGGAAAGTCCCCGACGAGGCCGTGGCATCGCGGCATCGCCCGAGGCCCGCCCAGGGCGTCACTGAAAAGGTGGCTGTGCCTCTGGACACGCTGGAATTTCCGTATTGCCGCTGGAGCGGGCTGGCGCGACACCGCCAGAACGCTTTGCCTCTATTGGAGCATCCTGTTTAGCATGCAGTACAATCAGTGGAGCTGCCAAGCCGCGAGCCCCCTGCAGGCCGCTTCCGAACAGCGCTTTCGCGTCGCTCTGTCTCTCTCGCACCCCAGGCGAGCATGCGGAGCATGCGGGGCGCCACGTGCGTGCGAGAGAGACAGAAGTTCGGAGTGCGCTCCCTGGCGGGATGGGCTGGGCGTTCTACTGGTTTGCGGGCCCCTTCTCGTCGCCTCTTGTGGCAAAGGCAAAGACGTCGCTAGGCGCGGCGCGGCACGGCGCCTCAGACTGCGTACAGTGTGCACGTCTCGCGGCGGCGTGGCGGGGGTGTCTGACGCGGTGCCAGGAGGAGCTGCCAAAGACTAGCAAACGTCAAAGGAACGATTGTCTCGACTTGAGTCACCGCGCCGCGTGCGTGTAAACGCCTGTGACCGCACTCTTGGCCAGCGTGTTTCGACCATTTTCTCTTTATTTGACCGATTCGACTTTACTTGTTTTGTTCAATTCTCATAACTGCGACGTGACTTTACAGAAATAGTCAAACGAGTCAAATATGTACAGAATGGCGCTGGACGACTGTGCACAGCCCCGGTGCAACCCCGGCCGTCACTCTGTCACGGAGGCTCGGAACTGGGAAATGGTGCTATAAAGTGACTTCTCGTTTTCGCTTTCGACGGGCTTTCGCTGCACAGCGAAGTGAAAGTCCCCCGAGGGTGGAATGGCCGTGCTGCCCTTGGCCTCGCGTTAATAAGCAATGGCCGTGCATTGCCGGCCTGCCATTGACGTGTCCGTGACGCGTCCGTGACGTGCACGGCGTGTCCCCGCGTGGCCGTGACAGGTGACGCGTGAATATGAATGACGAACGGACGACGTATTGGGAGAATCTTGATCTGCACTCCGGCGCATGCATTGTTAAAGGCCGATCCAAGTGCACCGCGGCCGGTGGAACCGTGTGGAACGCTTTGTGAATGTTTAACGGGGGGTGGATAGTGCAGACCTGGATGTCGCAGTTAGCCCTTGCGCAGAGGGACAGACACGTCGACTTCACCGGAAGGCATCATTCGAACTCTGCTGCTGCTTGGACGATTTCCGGCCACAATACTTTTCGGAACGAGTTACAGTATTGCACTTACTCGTACCTGGTACTTATTTGCACTCATTGCAACCGACGCATACGCGCACTCTAGATATAAGGTTTTCATAACATCACCTCCTCATGCATGCTCTCGCATTTGACTAATTTTTCAACTAACCCCATTTAACCCCACCTCATCATGCATGCTCTCGCACTTTACTAATTTTTGAACTAACCCCATATTAACCCATTACTAACCCTCATGTACTAACAATTTATACTAACAATCGTAGTTAGACGACCTGGAGATGAGTAGTATAAGTATCAGAAACCTAACCCTCTTGATATTTATACGAAATTTCTTGGTCGACCGTAGTTAGCTGTTGTCTAACCGAATGCTATACTAACCCTTACTAACCTAACCCACATGGTAAGTATTGTATTATATGTACATAGCACGGAGAAAGCAGTACAGTAGTGCAAGCCCTAACTAATATTCCGTTGTGTTGTGACGGGTCGTTACCACCGGCAAGTTGTGAGGTTGGCTCGGTCTGGCGCACCCTCCCTCGTCCCTTCGTCATCCCTTTTGCCCGGGGCCCTCTAGGGCGTGGGGCGCGAAGGGCGGCGCGGGGCGGCGCATCCCCCGCGGATCCAGGGCCCTCCAGGGCCAGGGGACAGCAGCCCTTCGGCAGCCCTTCGGCAGCCCTTCGGCGCCGCGACCTGCCGCAACGCACAAATGTGAGCACAGACACTCTGGCAGTGATAAATGGCGGCACTCCGGATACAAAGAAGGGCGCGAGGCTGTACCGCCGGCCGGGCAGACAGGCAGCCAGGCAGCCACGCGTCTTCGGCAAGAGTTTAGATCGGAGGGGAGGCGAGCGTGGTGGTGGGAGAGGGGCGGGGTGTCGGTGGTGGTCTGGGGGAGGAGGGGAGGGTAGGGGGTGTTGTAAGGAGGAGGGTGCAGCACGCCACGCCCCGCCACGCCACGCCGCGCCACGCCCCGCCACGCCGCGCGATCGATAGAAGAGGCAAACCTCGCGGCGACGCTAGCCACGCTAGCCGAGCACGGCGGGCAATGCGGTCGCTGATCTCTACCCGGTCCGAAGGAGTCCGAAGGAGGAACCCGAACGGGTCGAAGTGTCGCGGCGCTGGCTGTGCTGGCCGCGCCGGCGCTGCCACTCGAAGCCTCGAGGCAGCACGGCGTCAGGGCGTCGACGCAGGGCGTGGTCCTTGCACCGCCAACACCGCCGACGGTCGGCCGGGATCGACCCGGAGGTACACAAGAGGCTGAACGGCGTGTGTGCCGCGGCGGCGTGCAGCGAGCCCTGGCCGCCATGGCCGCCCTGCGCCAGTGCGCCCTGCAGCGCGAGGGCGCGGCCTGCCCTGCGCCCTGGCCGAGGCCTGGCCCTCCCCGCTGCGCCCCGTGGGCCCTGCGCCCTGCGCCGCGCACGGCCGCCGCGCTGTGAAATAGCCGGCCGCGCGCGCCGCGGTCCTGAACTTGAACTTGCGACCATATACCCACTTCCACCATAAACACAACACCCATCCCCGTGCCAGGCATCCGCGGCGGCTGGGCGCGAGCGTGGGCGGAGGGGGCGCGGCGTGGTGGGGGGCGGGGTGGGGGGCGCACAGGCCGTTGCCCGACGAAAGGGAGAGTCACTGCAGGGCCAAGGGAGGGGGCCAGCCCCGCCAGCCCCGCCAGCCCAAAGCCGCGGTGGGGTGGTGGTCCCCGGGGTGGTGGGCACATCGGGCCCCGGGCGGGTGGAGGGCCCCGCTACCCCCTCCACGCCGTAAACAGTGCGTACGCCTCACCCCCTTTTTGCAACCCCCCCGGTCAGCCACCCCCGCGGCAGGCCCAAGCCGTACCGGGGTTTGGCAGAAGAGTCATTGTCCCGCGTGCCACGCCGGCCCTGCCTGGCTCGGCCCTGCCTCGGTCACCTCTACTGGGGGCTGGAAGGGGGGGGGGAGGGGGACGCGGTGTGGGCCGTTCATCTCCGCCTCTCCGTCTTGCGCCACTTGGCCATCGTCACCGACGCACTCCGCGAATATTATCGAATTTCACGATTCGACGGCCCAGGCCGCTCAGGCCGCCCTGGCCCGGCCTGCTGGGGGTGGGGGTCGCCTCGGGAGAGGGGCGGAGGGGGTGGGGCGGCCCGACCACGCGACCACGCCTCGCCGCGCCGCCGCGCCACCCAGACTGCGGGGCCCTGAAGCCGTCCTCTTTTCTCTCTTTTTCGGCGGCCCGTCCATCGCGCGGAGACGCACCGCGAATTATTAGGGAGGGGGAGCCACATATTTTGCCGGCGACACCGGCAGTAACCGGCGGCGGGAACACGCTGAAAAATTGGCGATGCTGGCGGCCTCCTTGGCGGGGTGGGGCACGCAAGGCACGCACTATCGCCAGGCGTCAATCTCGTTAGGGCGTAATCTCAGCGCGGCCTCGAGCGGGGCGGGGGAGGGGGGGGGGACACGACGCAGCCCCCAG